TGAACAGACTAATTGTATGACAAAATTTGCCATGAATGATTAGACGTATGTACATAAGAAAAAAAAATCAGGAGTAAATAGCACTGATTTGGAAAGCCAATTAATTCTTAACTTATCATCTGGTCAGATTCTATCTGAGTTCTTGAAACTTGCATCTGTCAGAACAGTGCAGACACATCACTGGCTTTAGAGCACAGTAGCCACAGCTGTCTTTGGGTTCTTTCCCCTTCATATCCTGATTAAGACCTGAGCAGAGCAAGCCACAGTTTGGCACCTATCTTCTCAGCTGCCAGGAGAAGTGCTTGGTGAACACCACACAAAGAGGCATACAACCTGAGGCAGTCATGACACAGAGAAGACAACAGCTGATTCTTGCCAATACTGCCATGAAATGCTGCACAACCAGCGAAACACAGGGTGACTGCTTCATTTGCCAAGCACTGTCAAGTTCTCCTGCAGCCTCAGTAACATGATCACCATTTTCCAATCACGTAATAATTTTCTTTCTTGTGTCAAAGGATTAATTCTGATCTTCCATGTTTTACACCACTAACTGAAATGCAGCAAACTATTCCCAAGAAAAGAATGTGCTCAATGTTTAAAGATAATTGCCCCTTACTTTGATGAACATAATTTTTACAAGCTAACCGGTAAGTAGAATTCTAGTTAATTAATAAAATACGATGAACAAAATCTTTTGAGTCTTTTTTTTTTTTTCCTAGACAAGTCTTAGTCATTTTTATTAGCCATTTTAAAGTATCATACCAGTACTCAGTAAAGATCTGTTCATACATATGAATCTTAGTATCCAGCTTTCCAAATGCAATCCTGAATAGACCATGCCACAAGAATACAGTTGTAAAGTCACCAATGCACCTAAAAGTATAAGAATTTGCACAAAACCTAACAGCTAGACTCTACAATGGACAAGAATTCCCAAGAAATGAAACCTCTTTTTCTGAAAAGTTTATAAACTGATAAACATCCATTACAAAGAATACTGGACATAGGCCACACATGAAGGGCAACATGGAACAAATGCCTTAAGCACAATGCATAAAACAATGTATACTAGACGGTTAACCATTGTCCTCAAAGTAGGAGCGCACCCATGTGTGTGCAAGAGTGAGCATTTTCATACACTGAACCCATAAATGCCTTCAATCAAAAAATTGTAATTGAAACAATTCTGTTATTCTAGATATTTATAGTAAAGATATAAAAAATAATCTTTTAAGCACATATGACTGCCTACACCATCCATTCTTTGTTATAGGGATCGCATCTGAGAGTTCAATATGTTCGAAATGGAGAATGTTAGAGAAAGAAAGAAAAATAGATTTAATTCTCCACAGTAAACATCTTGTTATTGAAAATACATAATGAGCAATTACTAGATTTGCTTGGCAGGAAGAGGTATGCTTTGGTTGTACAAACCGTACTTCCAAAATCAATCAAAAAATAAAAAACATTATTGTTTGTTGTTATTCTACATCAAAAAGCAACCTATGGGATGGTGGAAAGATTACACTTGGTTTTTTTATCTTTTTCAAACAGATTTTACTCAATAAACTGCTTATATGTTTTTATAATCACATATTACTGGAGGCTATTGTTCACTGTCAGGAAAATTTTTGGGGGTGAGAAGAACAAAGAGCAACTAAAAACAAGTCCACAGGGATCTCCTGAAGAAAAATAAACAACATTGCAATAGATTCTAAACTCTAAGACGTGTGAACAAAAATTTGTCTACTATTGTATGAAGATTTCCCTAAAAGCATCAACAAAGGTCTTCCTGAGCAAACTACACTCAGACAAAACCACAATGTACACCCTGCTATTAACTTCTGATGCCATGAACAGTTTCTATCAAATTTGAAAGGTACAGTCTCAGAAAACACTGACAACTGCGCTGTGGCTAGCCCATATTGGTTCTGCTGCTTCCTTCTCACTCAAACTTATACTGAACTTGGAAGAAAGTGTGTGATAAATAAGGGGGCTGAGGAGGAATTCCCTGTTACGTGGGAGAATGTAACAACACAGGACTGTTAAAGACAAATTGCAATAGGACTGGGGATAATAGCTGCCAACTGCACGCAATGTAGGAAGGTGAGGAACAGGGTGAAATCTTGGGTGAGAAAGATAGCTTGTGAATATATTTGTAAATTTGAAGCCATGTGTAGCTTTGAAACCTATTTAAGGAACATACTAGTATGTACTCACCATGAGGGGCACTTGTCCACATTTTCACAATAACCAGAGAGCTGCAGGCCCCACTCGTGAGCGTGCACTGTGTCTGAAAGGACTGAACTTGCAGGTCTACCTTTAACCAGATTCCCTTCTGAACAGCTTTAAGGTATAACTGAAAAAAACCTAAGCTTCACAGGATATAAACTGTTCTTATGTAATCAGAAGGCAGATGATTAGCTAATAAATACATTAATATAATATCAGGCACATACAGAAACAAATAAAATGTTTCTGCAGAAGAGATTAGCATAGATGTTTCAATGGATTAGGAAGACAGAAAGTATATTTAATATATAAAATCCATATAATGAGAAGCAGTGGAAAAAATAGGACAACTGTCATGTGTCCAAGAAATATCTTCATAAAAAAGCTGTCAAATATAAATAGTTCTCAGCAACAAAACACTCTGGTAACTGAGTAAGACAAATTTAATTCAGAATTTACAATGTACCTCATAGTGGATTTTATCATTACAAATATCCCTGAACAACTGGATGTCTCCAAATTAAAACATCACTTACATTCTCCTGTTAAATAACTCCTGCCTGGCACTTATGATTAGTTGGACATAAAGATTGTTGTTGGTTTATTCAAGCAAAAGGACAGTTGAAAAGTACAACCAATGTGTATACATAGACCCAGAGGCAAACGCTGAGAATGGTAAGAACTAATTAAGCTCAAGGATCATGCTGGCATTAAGAACAACCAGTAATAAATTTGCCATGAAGAAATTCAGGTTGGAAATGAAACAACCTGATGTTTTCAGATGAAAATTCACAAATTTGTGATCAGGATGACACGGCTGTTTGCAATAACAAGGGCTTGAACTCAGGCAAGCCAGGATGCCCCCCTCCTTCTAGTCATATACCCTAAAACCACAATAAATTAACTATATGTAAAAATAACTATATGCAAAATAACTATATGTTTAAGCCTTTAATAAATCTGCTCACTGAAAAAGTATCATAATAATAGAAAAATACCTATAAACTCATATGTGAATGAATTTCCAAAGTTTTAAAAACTGATTTGCATAGTTCCAAAAAAACACCGATCCTCATTCAAGCTACTGAGACTATGAAGGTTCCTTTGCAGCAACAGGCAGGGCTAAGATAAATTTGCCTAAACCCCATGACAGCAACAAAGTCTGGAAGATCCTTTCTCTTCCCATCTTGTTCCTTCCCCCAAAAAATAATGAGAGAAAATGCAGACGTGACACCCTTACCATCTCAGAAAATAAAGAGCAATCTTCTGATCTTCGATACCTTCAGGAATTTTTTTACTCTCCCTGCCATAAGTGCTCAAGAAAATAGTACAGAACAATAACCAACGCACATATGAGATACAGCAATCGTCAAAAGCCTGGCCCATCCATTGGCCTCCTCCACTACTTCAGTAAATTTTGTACAAGAACCTACCGAAAACACACACAAATTTAACAAGTACATTTAGAATACTCAATGTTTTGTTTCATGGGGTGCTTTTTTCCCAGCTGTGAAACTGGCAAACTCTGCATTAGGAAAGTTCATACTTTATCCTTGGAATAGACTGATTTGTACGTCTTAAGGAATCATTAAAAAGCTGTTCTATTTCAGCTGATACTCTATCGGAGTCAAGCTTTAGTCTCAGCTTTTACTGATTTTTATTAATATATTTTTAGTCATCAAATATGATGGCATTTTGAGTGTCTTTTGTAGTACTCATGTTCAACAGAAATGCCATTTCAATCAATCCAAACTTTTTTTGAAAATGCAGAACAAATTAACTGCATTGTTTCACCTGAAAAAGTATTTTCATTTTGGTTCCTCTCCTCCTCTTTTTTTTATTGTTTAAAAAAAACCACAACATACACACAACGTCCAAATAAGGATGTTCTTGCTAACTCACCTTCTCTCTCCCCCAGAAGTCCATTATTTAGCATACATGCAGCTCTTAACCAATGAACATTCAAGCACTCCTAGTCTAGAAAGCCCTCACCACAGCATCACAAACATTCTCTTTCTGGACAAAAGTATACTTAAATACAAAACAGAAAAAGGAGATGCTGATGACTACCCATATAGTGATCTGTGGTTTTTGACAGTGATACTGAAGTTTACCCTTAGTTACTGTTGCTTTATTAAAAATATTGAAATTAAATTATTTTGGATGACAAAAACTTTTGTTCATCAGGTAGGTTTTTTCAGCAAAGAGAAATCCTTTTCAGTTTGAACTACTTTTCACATTATTTTTCACCAGAAATCAGTTATTTACTAGGTTCTAATCTGAAGTTATTAAAAACAGCTTTGTGCTCTCAGAATTCCTCCTTCCTATCTCTATTTCTTGAAAGGGAAATACCTTTTGCAACCCAGATAATTGCAACAAAGGGAGAGCACTTACTAGTAAATCTTTTTTCCTTTTTTTTTGGTAGTGAAATGCTGTGGCTAGCAGTGTAAAGATTTTTTTTTAAATATATATACAGATATGTATTTGCATGTGTACATATATGCATACATTTGCCACTATATCCCTATTTATAGACGGGAAATATCTAAGTAGTTAAAAGGAAAAATATGGGCAGCTTGTCCAGGTGGAAAGTGAATGTACTTACAGAAACTCTACGGATATTACCATTGTGTTAATACAGTGCTATGACTGTTGAAGATAACTGAGTGGATGTGATGACTCTATAAATATACACACTACTATTCTTACAAAATTCAGGACACTGTATATCACTGCATTCTTATTCTGCCTCTTGTAATACTCACAGACAGACTGTAAGAAGGTTCCAGTATCACTGGCACTGACATCTTCCCTTGAAGATTCAATTTTGTTAAGTAAAAAATCTTTTCTCCCACAATCCTCTCTTTTTTCACGCGACGTACACTGTACAGTCTAAAGCGAACTGCATAATTCCCAATCATCTCAGACTCAACGTGATTAAATTTGAATGTCTCTGTGAAGACAGGGCATGGTCCCCGCTGGATGCTGGTTTTTGCTCTCTGCTTCTTTATAGGGAGAAGAACTAGGTGTACTTGCCACGAGCTTCCACCTGTCCTGCTGTATGTGGGAATGTCTGTGACAGCTGTCACTGTCACCAAAAGCTTCTGTTCCTGTGAGTCATAGTCAAAAGTCACATCCAGTGTGCCATATTTAGCTACTGGCTCAGGATCAAAAGGTTTAGGAAGCTGTGAAGATGATCCTCGAGCTGACATATCCTGAGGAAGAAGAAGAAAAAAAGCTATTTATTTATTGTATTCTATTATTAAATCTAGTGTGGAAATATATGGCTTTCTCTAAGCAATATGAAGGGACTATGATCTTTATGTTCATTTCATAAACAAGGTAATTAAACACCAAAATCCAAGGAGATGGCTGACTAGCATCCAAGAAGAAATCAAAAGACTTTACCTAGCCAATACAAAATACAAAAGCCAGGAGCCAATCAGAGTTCAGATTAAATTAGGCTGTATTTATGATCTATTCTTCTGTGTCCCACATTAAAATGCATGTATATTTGTTACAAAGTAGAACTACCTTATTTCAGTGTGAGTATACACATAGTTTTAAGTTAACATATTACAGTGCTTTAAGAGGCAGCTACTGATTGAAAGCACAGTGAGATGCCAGCAAAGAATACAGGCATTACAACACCTGCATGCACATGCAGCTCTTGTTGCATGAGGGTTCTATGAATGTGCCAAAAATTATCATGGCTTTAGTAATGTAATTTTACTGGAAGTGTGTAAGATGCATCTGTGTTGAACACATCTTCTGAACTTTCTGTAAACTGCATCAGACTTAATCCTGTACTTTAAACTTAATTTTAAGATTGTTTATTGTCACTTCAAATTTTGAACAAAATATTGATCCCCTATACTGTTGCAAAAGCTACCTTGATAGTCATATGAAGCATAATATATTTACAAGTACAGGTTAACCTATTGTTCATATAATAAATTATTCCAAGTATGTAAACCAAATGCATCTCCTGTGTATTTTCATATTATCAAAGATACGCTTGTTCATGTAAATGAATAGACGCCACAATAAAGCTTTCTGGATTAAAAAAATCTTACATTCTTAAAGTGGTGGCTACATAGCTATGGGAATTCGTTCCTCTGAAAGCTTCACTCTTCAAGTTGTTGAGTGGCTATAAAAAAATTCTGGCAGTATTCTCAGTTCTTATTGAGTATGCTTACATTAATGACTGGTGTGACACAAAACGGGAAGAAGTAGGATTAGATTTGCTGCAATCTGTTAGTGTTCGAGGGCCATATGTACACACTATGTCTTCACCAGCAATGAACTTCACATAGAGTGCAGTCCTAGCTCATCTTGAGGTACATGTAGACAGATAGCTACTGGATGACCTTGCAGCTGGGCCCTCCAGATGTTGCACTAACATGCCAGGTATGCAACATCAATTTACCAGGAGGTCTACTAAGACAGAAACAAATGTTGGCACATCAAGACTGAGCCCAAATATGCACTTCAAAACTCCAGGTAGAGACAAAAGACAAATTTGTACCAAAAAGAGCCTTTTCTGCACATGACATCACTAATGTAGACTTACCTACAGATTTCAGTGCAGTAACTGGCTGTTAAAGACACTTCAAGGAAATATGTCAGAAAACATTTCTTCATGGTAAAAATAAATAAGTATCATTACAAATTATAGCAGAAAAAAGGAAAATTAAGTGGACCAAATCTCTTTATTACCATCAGCAATTTTTTTTTATAAGATGTTCTATAATACTGGGTGTTCAGTTTGAAAAGTGTTAACAGATTTTATGTTGTTTGAAAAATTATGTGGAAGAAAAAAGATTTTTCACTACAGTCCTTATAATGTGATTAAGTTTTCTGAATTGTTTAAAAAATAATTCACTTTATCGTATCTGTACTTTCAAACAAGCTCCCAGTAAAAGATAACTATAAAGAACAATCTGAAATCCTCTTGTAGTATCTCCTGACTAATTTTGTTTTTAATTATCTGCAGTATTAGTGTTCATATAACTGTGCATTGATCTTTAGATAAAAAAGCTCTAAAAATGTTGCACTGCATGATGCTTCAGAACACTCAACTGTTTTCATTTACCTCTGGACTAAGGACAGCTGTACTATCACTTGGTACATCCTCTTCATATCCTTTGTTATGAAAGCTTTCTATTTCGTGTCCCGTGCTTCCTTCACTTGGGCACTTATACGAACATCTTGGACTGTTGCTACACTGGGAAAATTCACATTTACTGTCTCCAACTTCAGAAGGCGTACATGAAAGATGAGGAGAACCACTATCATCCTGGTATGGAGGCGGCTGCAGTTCATCTAGCGGAGGTGTTCTTCTCATCCTCTGAATGCAGTTCGCTAAGAATAAGGGAAAATACTTTACTTACTTTCTAATTATTTACTGTTGAAACAGTTCTGTGGAAAATAGTAAGTCTAAATATCTAGACAAAGTGTTTAAAAATCTATAAATGTATTTACATATTAGATAAAATTATAGAAAAATATTTGTCAAAAATAGAAATGAATGATCTCTCAAAGAGATTTAGATAAAAACAAAGTATTAAGTCACAATGGATTGTGTAAACCATATCTAAATAAATATAGCACAAATATGACATGACAAAAATTCTAGGCTTGAACTTCTGGGATGCTTACTTTACAAAAACCTTTGGCTACCTTAAGTCAGATTCTGTGCAGGTGGAATGTAGCAAACCAATTAAAGAAACAAAATGCACTCCCTAAAGCCATATCAAAATTCTGATTACCTCCCATGTAGTTCTTCACCCAGGAAGATATTAAACTCTGAAGACAAAAAAGGTACTAAAAAAGGCAGACAAGCCTTTTCACTAAAGTGAACTCTGCTCACCAGTGAATTTAACAAGTGAAGCAGGGTCTCAGATTCTTTATTACTTGTTAAGGAGAGCTAAAGCATATGTATCCAGTGTCTAGGAGTTAGACACTAGGTCCAGCCACTGAAGACAGTGGAAAAAGGATCGTGAGCTATCTTATGTTTGGGATGAATACTTGACACTGACCATATTTGCTTCTCACACTAGACAGACAGACAGAAATGTGGTTATATATCTCCTTGGAAAATAAACATGATGCATAGCTATGGATATAGAAAGTTAATTCAGAATAACTGCATTTCAATTTTTGATCTTACATTTTACTATGCAGTATTGTGCACTTGACTAGAATTGGGAAGAGACAGAAAAGCATACAGTAGCTGAAAATAAAGGAATACCAAGGATAGGTAAAAACCCATATCACATTTTGTTTACATCTTCTGTAGAAGTTCTGAAGATTTCAATGCCCCTCACACGCAGAATTAACTTCTACACAACAATTTCAAAGCAACAATGCTTCTGGTGTCAGACATACCACTTTCATTCACAGTGAAATCTACCAAACAAGGAAGTTAACAAAAGTATTAACATTAGAACAATATAAGCTTTGATTTTAGATTCATGTAAGAAAGAAATTGATCTTCTTTCCCACATGACAAAGGTGGTACATTTTAGTTTCACTAGCAAATTTTTACATACAGGATTGCCCTGCCTGTGTCCTAAATTCTCACCAAGTACATCAACCTTTTAACTGTTTCAGAGGTAATTACCAGTTGTTCAACATAGCATATAAACAGAGTATGCTTAAGAGTTGCCCTGTATGGAACAAGGCTAAAAACACAGTAATGTGGTTCTCCTGGGAAACAGTCTTAGCGAAAGGCTCCCTCTTGTTCTCCTTTCCTTTGGAAGTCTGGGCTGTATCTGACTGTGGCATACTGGAACATTTCACAGCATCTGGGACTTGATGTAAGCCCAAACCACCATGGTTTCAGTGCACACTGTCTGTGGGAAGCAAAACCAGACACATTGGCTAGAATGGATGCAATTGGGTAAAAAAAGTTGGGTAACTGAAGGCCAGGGACAGGACAGCTCATTATGGAGCACATGTACTGCACAGATAAATAGAGGATAAATATCAATGATAATTGGGGAATGCAGCGCTCTTCTATTTCACCAGGCTCCTAATGGAACTCCTCTTGGCTTTAGCTAAGGTAAATGAGTAATTAAAACACTCCCACAAGATGATACCAGTGTCAGCAATCCTCTCTTCTCTGATAAATCCATCAGAGCCAGCCTACCATTCAGAGTGATTCAAAATTACTGTTACAGCACTCCTGAAAAGCTCTTCTGCTGTTAGTTAGTTCAGTGCCACTAACTCTTGAAACTCCAGTCCCACTGGGCTGGAAAGGAAAACAAAGCAGGCAGGGAATCCTATATGCAAAACATAGTTATCATTCTAAAAAGACAGAACCTTACGTATGAAAAAGAGTTAAGTGGGACAGTCAAAATCTTGAAACCGCCATGCAGGAATAGTGAGAAACCATTATTTGCAAAACAGAGAGATATGGGAAAGCACTTCTTTAAAAAAAAAATTAAAATTAGGTATCTTGCGCCCATGAAACTAGGTAGACATAATTTTAGAATCTAAACATGTTTTAATTACAATAATAATAAATATCCTTTAACTCTCTATACAATGAAAAAAGGACTTCCTTTTCATAGTTTATACAAATAAATATTCTAGCAAATCTAGAGCAACACCATTTCTGCACTTTGTTGCTGAAAGACAACAAACAGAATTAAATGAGACAGTAACCACCATGTATCTTGACTTAATTTCTTTCTTTTCACATGTAGTCAGGTCTCTAAAGCCCCAGCTTTTCCATAACCTAATGAAATGAAAGCATGTCCGGGTAACTATCAACACCATTATTGTCTTACATGAGTAAATAAATGACTGTGTGACTCACTTTTTTCACTTTGATGAACTCCATTATATGTCCCTATGGGAAAAGTGCACAGGCTGTGTGACAGAAAAGGTACTTTTAACGTAGGCGGGGAAGAAGTGAATAAAAGACAATTCTTATTAACCAGCTGTGACTCAAAAATCCCAGCAAATGCTGGAACACCGGGGCAGGTTTTAACTATTATTGAAAGTTTAACTTAGCAAACAGAAATAGCATGTAAATTTTAAAAACAAATATCCAGGTTTAAAAACCTAAGGACACCTCTGTCTAAACAGGTACAAACTGGTTTTGAACAAAAGGTTTCTCTACATAAAAAGATGTAAAAGTTTTCAAATTTATTTTTAAAGTCTCATTTTAAATTCATTTCCCCTTCCTCACAATAAACGGTGCAATAAAATGATGATTTCATGTTATAGCTCTCTGAAAATACTGCAAATTTTAATTACATGAAGACATTCTAATGACTGATGATATCAGAGACAAATGGTATCACAGACAGAAGTGAATACAGCAACGCTGAATATCTGATACCACTTATTTTCCTGAAAAATTACACAGATGTAGCAACTACAGCAATCAACCTATCAACAAAATTTTGCATATGTATCAAAAGCTTAAAATAAAAAAACACTGCTAATCCATGCTGGACTATCACTCATTGTATTGGAGAAAACCATTTGAACCTAAAGGAAAGCATGTTCTGAAGTGTTTGCATATTTACATGTACAAACACTACCTATATATACCTTGTAACTTCCATTTAAGGTATAAACTTAAGACAGTTACTCTTGTGCACACTTGTATATTGTGACAAAGCCAAAAATAACTTCCAAAGACTACTGAATGTGTCTAGTAAGATCTGCTAAAGAGTTACTCTTAAAAGCAAATGGTTACAGTGAAAACCTAAAATTAATTGTTGCATCATTTCTATGCAAGCTTCCCAAGAAACTTTCTGCTCTCAAACCAGAGAGAAAAATAAATTTTGCCAATTCCCCCAATTAAATCAATAATTTTAAATTACCATACCAGTTTGGACTAGACAGGGTGTAAAACAAGCCAACATATATTCCAAATCTGGAAGATAGAAATAATCACAGAGAAAATGAATTGGGTTTAGTCTGAGGTTCCTACCAGCCAGAAAATGCCAAAGCAGAGGAAAGAAATAGAAAGATCGCACATTCAGTTTTTCACCCAAACTATGTGAAAGAACTCTGTATTCTCTAACATAAGTGAAACTCAATTGTTTAGTAACAAATATTTAGTAAACTCTGAATTGAGAATATAGTGTATTGCTGTTGATAGGCAGATCTGAATAAGCAAACCTTTAATGATTAACTGCTTTAATTAAATTTTCATCTTTCTTTAGCGGGCTGCAAACACACTCATATAGCAGTAAAGTCCTTGCTCAACAGCTGAAGAAAACAGAACTCAAAGTGAAATACCTGACAAAGAAGTAGATCAGCATTTTGCCAGTACACTCAGAAATTACAACATGCAAACTGCCACTAGCACATCTAACTCAGAAGTAAATAGATACCTTATTTTTAGTACTGTTTGTTAAACAATGAAGGTTAATCTGATTTCATAATTCCCAGTACAGGAGACTGGTTGAAAGCCAAGGGGAGACGATACAGATCTTGCCATCAACATCAAGGAACCATCAATAAAATCTGACACAGCAACCTAGGCCAAAATGAGCATTCCTGGGACATACAATTGATAACTTTGACAAAATACAGAACATTTTCACTCACTTTTCTGAGTGGAATCACAGTTTAAAGATACATGATCTTGAGTTTACTATAATAAATGCTTTTTCTTTAGGTTTTCAGTTACTATTTGAACTTTCTACTTTCAATGCTCCTCATTTCTCCCCTGTGGACCATATCAGGCTGTACAACATTCCACCATCAAGCTGGTGATGGTCCTTTCCATGTTTACAATGTTTAGACTTTGCTGTCTTAATTTTCCCAAAGGCTGTCGGCAGCAGCAAAACCTAGCTTTCTTTAGCCTGTATTTCCTGGTAATTCCAAGAACATCCATCTCTCAACAAACAGAAAAAGAAGTTATCCTTGTGGTTTCAATTCCCCTGCCTCATAAGCAGTAATTAACTACATTTTTGTGACTTTGAGTTTCTCATATATTTTACTTCTTTAAATATTCATACTATTGTGGGAGGCAGCATTACAACAAAACTTCTTTGGGAATCTCATTTCCAGTTCCTTTAAAATAAATAATCATGAAATATTTTTTTGTAAATCATATTTTGTAATTATCGGAATATCTTCATTCTCAAAAAGTACCTTTCTTCCTCTAACATATTGCCACATATACTATGCTTCATATTTATTTATTTATTTAATCTAATGTACATTTTCAAGTTTTCAAGCCTTCAAGAGGTTCTATGTAAATGTTAAGACAATTTAAATAAAACATAAAATGAAATGTGTTTAAAAATTAAAGAAACCTTTCTTATTCTGAATGATTAAATACCCTTAGAGATTTCTGATATGTAGCACAGACAGTCCAAATGGAATTTTCG